CTCGACTAGAGCATGCATTGGCATGCTGTCACCAAACGCGTTGCGCTGAACTCGTCCATACCGCTTTCTGACCTGTTCATTAGTGAAAAAGGGGGTCCCGTTTTGCGTTTTCTTGACGGGATTTCTCCGCTTTTTTCCGCTACTGGCGTACCACTGAGCACCACCACTCTCTTATAAACCCTGCTTGAATCTATCGTAATCACTGCCTTCAACATTTCTTACTCAGAAAGTGAGGTAGCTTCTAGGATTCTCATAAGCCTTCAGTTGTGACACCAGCGTCCTATCTTTTTCCAAACCTTGGTTTGATTCGCAAACCCCAACCCATGATCAAATAAAGTAAAATGTAGTAATCAGTATGAAATTAGATGAAATAGTGTAAGTAAAGTCTACATAATAAAATAAAACAAAATAACATATACTACATCAATTCCAATAATTTTTCTAGAGATTGAGTGCAGATTTTTACCTGGAACAGAAGCGAGCTTGATCGTTAAAGAGCATTTCTGAGAAGCATTTCTGAGAGCAGAAGTTGTTCTATGTCACTAATTGGAGGAGTCCTTGGAAAGCCTCTCGGAGGCTCTCAGTTTCACTTTGATTCTTCTCTGTTAAGCTTCTGGTAGAATTTCTTGTATTGGGTTACCTGAAATAAATCCCTATACCTGAATTCCTCTCTGAATCAGCTTTCCACTGCATCTTACAGTAATTTCAATGGGTCTACGCTCACCAATGAGGGAAAAAATGGAGAGGGTACTACGGAGCGGGAAAAATAGTTCCGTTCAATTTGACCATAAGGGCTTTTTTCCGCAGCCGTTGCAGTGCAGCTGATCGAGTCTCTCGAGTCTTCAACTTGATACCCACTCCGCCAGTGATAGGCTACAAGTAAGCATAGGTATGAGATTCCGTGATGGTATAAGGAAAGGTTCCTAGACTGAAAGATGTTCTGAACTCACCAAACGTATCCGACAATCATACATTCAGGAGTTCTGTTTATATGTTGAAAACGCCGTTTTTGTCATCTTTCAGGTCGCCATACCCATCCAGGGCATCACACAGAGACTTCATTTGCCTCTTTAGACTGAAAAAATGGAAAAGCTTCTGGTTCCAGTTTGGTTTTCCTCCCTGTATACTTCTGCGAATTCTTCTCTTGCGTTTGTTTTCACGACTATTAATACTGACTTTACGGACATGGTTGGTAACCAAGCGGTTCGAATACAGTGGAGAATAATTCTAGTCTGGTTCCACTGTTGCCAAAAATGCTCGCCGCTGAGGAAGGAAGCAGCTCTTGTAGAAAGCTGGTAAACTTGTACACGTCCTGAAAAAGAAGTCTCTCTGATCCTTGTAGATTCCGTCAGTGATAAGCCACAGGAAACTCAAACAAGCAGCCTAGGGATTAGATCACTAGGCTGATAAAAAAGCTGATGTAGTCTTGAGGGTTTCTCAAACTGATTCTTCGTCCCGATTTTTTCCCACTCAGTGCTGCAGCTTTCTCATGAGCCAGCACTTGCACATGGCTTTGGGCTACTAGAGGGCCCAGCTAATTACCAGCTATCTCCGACTGATATCGTGAGCCGGAGATGGCCTCCAACTTTTGCCACGACCTTACAGGACAATGGAAGTTTAAAAATGAAGGCTTGCTGACATTCGCTCAGCACCGCTTCAGCCCTGACCTCATCCAGTCTGATAAGGGCCTTTTCAGCACCTCCAGATTACCTGCACGCAATAAAGTTCGAGACAAGGCAGTGAGCGGCTTCTGAGAGTTCCAGAGTCCGTATTTTGAGGGGATGAAATTTACAAGCTCCTCAAGGATCGAATGGCAGACTGTGGAGGCGTAATTCTCACTGTGAGACGAAGTTGGTCATTTCCCTAATTTTTTCAAAGCCTCGTGCGTAAATGCTCCCCAGCAATTTATTTCTCCTCGCCACATGGAGTGACCAAATAAGCCTGCTGAGACGGCGGAAGTCGCAGTTTGGGTGCGAAGTTTCTCAGATGCGTAAACAAATTTTCCTACTTACCTCGGTTTCCTCCTCTTCATAGTTTCAATTCAACAAATATTGCTTTTTGTACCACGAAGCAAGACGCCCAGGCCGATGTCAGACTTTGCGAATCGCGCGATTCGCTAGCGTCTGCGGTCGCGTCGCGGCCAGTGAATCACTCAATTGGCTGGTACCGCAACGCGAGCGGACGCTAGCGAATCGCGCGAATCGCTAGTAGCGAATCGCGCGATTCGCAAAGTCTGACATCGGCCTAAGCCTACCCCATTTCCTCCCCCGATCTCACCCCCACGCTCTCACTCCATGCTGTTCTCCTTTTCCACTCGGCTTGAGGGCAGTTGGCGCTGCCTACATAAAATTTTTGTCTAAAAAACCGTGCCCGCCATCAAAGAAGCAATAGTAGTTTCGACGAGGTGAAGAAAATACCCTCCTTCATTACCTTAGAGGGAAGTCGCGCTGTGCGGCTCTGGTTTGACCTCGGCATTGATTTCTTCTACTATTTTTAGCCGAATTCATTCTTTTTTTTGAGCTCTCTTCTGTTTCATGAAATGACTGGGTTCCACAAATGGTAGCAGATAGCGTAATCGGGTCATCATTGATCTATTCTGTAATCTTTTAGTCACGCATTTTGAAGCAGGGAATGAATTTGAGCTCTACATGTAGTATTTTGACCACTGCAATGTTCTCCTAGTAGTGATCTCATGACCACAAACCACATGATAAAGTGGAAAGGGGGCGCTGATCTAATTGGACAGGGAGGGCATCTGCGAAAGCCCCAACACATCCAGCTTCTCCCAACTCCCCTAGGACGAGACTTAGGGAGCACTAGGGGATGGATGTGTGAGCCTAGTTCATTTTCTACCAAGTTCATCCTCTCCTAGACTCAATCCGCATGGCCATCCCCCCCTCCCCGCCAGAAATAGATTGTTGTGAAATATTGTAACACGTACCTCTTTTTACGAAGAAGCGATAATATTGTGATAATGTGGAGGTACACACTGCGATAAGCGCTTTACTATTGATACGGTAGAAATTCTATGCTGAATACCAATCGACCAAAGCGAAGGCTGTATCTTTCCTTCTTACGTGAATATGAATATATGTGTTTAAATATTTCCCTGAATATATAAAAATTATAGGTTACAGCTTAAAAGCAGTGATCACGATGGCTGGAGGGTGGTGCAGTCGTGAGGACACTGAGCATCATTAGTGGTTGGTACCATCTCTAGCAGGGTCAACCGTCACGTTGGACCAATTTCGAACATTTTACGACCCTCTACTCTTTTTTATAGGGCCTCGATATGATCCCCCTCCTCCATCTTTCTTTTAGAGGGCCTCGATACGACCCCCCCTCCTCCTCAATCGCCCATCAATGGGGATTTCTATAAGTAAAACTTAAAGCAACAATCCAGGAACGAATTCGCGGGTAAGGACCACCTATAATGACGTTGCAGGTGAGAAGTTGGTCAATGGAGAAAGAAAAAGTAGAAAAAACGTCGGGCAGGGGCTTAGACAGGGACTCCCCTGCCGTTTAGGGAGACGTGTGTTGGACGAGTTGTCCGAACCTGCCCGTAGTACATGCGCTCCAATTGCAACTGCTGGCAAATAGCTGCATGCTTGCAAATACATAACTATTTGCCAGCAATCGAAATTGAAGCGCTTCAATTGCGTTCTTATGGAATCGACCTCATACAGCGCGGCGGTCCCGCAACGACCGCTAGTCAAGCACGGACTCTGCACAGCGTATGTTGAGCGATCCGCCTCGGTATGGGTGATCCGCCCCCTCCAAGAGGACTTCGACCCCTTCCAGCGCATTTTAGAGGTAGGTTTTGAACTTAAAGACATTTCCTATAAACTTTAGTTGGGCTGGGGCATGTTTTGACCGCCTAATGACCAAGTAGTTGAAACCCTGCCTGGACTGTTGCTTTAATTCTGGAACCAAATCGACACAGCTTCACCCCGCCCACTTTCCCCTCTAAAATTGCTGTCGAGCGGGGGTATATATCGAATGTGGAACGAGAAAATTTTCGCACTCAAAATCCCAGTCAACAACCCTAATCCGCTCTCCGTTACATGAAAAATTATCCCTTCCCTTACAATGTAACATTAACGCTACCTCGCGAAATAATACAACCTTCCCCTTCTCCACCCCCCAAATATGACCCCCAACCCCCTTGTTGGACTTTGTCCAACGGACCCGATCTCTAGTGGGTCCTTCCACCAATGATATTCACTGACGCCCTTCAGCTATCGTGACCGCTGCCTTTAAGATTTGTTAGCGATAAGAGGATTCGTAAAGGACGTACCAATAAATATTGCTGTTATTGATTACCAACGATGGGTTATTGATTATCTGTGATGGATACTGTGATTATTGATGGATTATAGCAGGCAGGATTTCTGAACATGAAATTCCTCAAACAGTATTTCTAAAGAGAAAGGCTTGAAAAAGTGGGCAAAACTCACCGAAGGTTGTAAAATGTTCCGGAGCTTCATGCGAGAATTCGTATGAGAGCGTCCTTGCTGACCACTGCCTTGCGAGACTCGGCCCATCGAATGACCGCATTCCAGTTGTCTACTGTTTTTAGGAATCGCATGCTTCCAAGAACAAACATTCCGTGGCTGCAGCGAGTCAGTGCGACGTTCATACGATTACTGTCACCCAGTAAATCTTTATCCCCACCGTGGCACCTTGTGGTGAGCAGAATGACGATCTCCTTCTCACGATTTTGAAAGGAACCAACAGTGAGCAAATCGACGGAACAATCCTTGGCAAATTGCTCGAGAAGATGGCGCTGCCCTCTGTAGAATGTGACGATCCCGAGGCATTCCGGCTTAATTCCTTTGGCTAATAGGGAGGTGACGATCAATTGGCAGACATCAGCTTCCCTGGTGTTGAAGTTGGTTTCTAATCCGCCGCGGCGCGGATCGCGTGTTGGTTCAGGAATATCAACGAAAACGAACGGGTAACATGGGTCTGGGCAGCGGACATGGTCCAGGAACAAACCACGCTGGTACTCGTCAGCCCCGTCTCTGAGAGTGCCACTGTAGAAGAGTTCGTTCGGGAGCTCGTTCAGACCTGGATGGGCTCGGAATGTGGTCACCATTGAGAGGGAGGGAACGCGTTTATCATGAGAAGATTCATCATTCCTCGTGCTCCGAGTCTTGCAGGAAGAGCGTGGCGAGCACAGCGAATGTGGGGTTGGAGCTGCAGGGGTCACCAATGTAGACATGACGAGCATTGAACAGGCGATTCGTGATAGCCACGAAT